ATGCAAACATAGAGATTTGCAACTTTGTCTCATCGAAGGTTTTCACGGCTGGAAACACTGGGTTGCTGTGAGTTTTTCAGGCTGTAAGGCCACTAGGCATGGTTAGGTTCGGTCAGAATATGACTGGGGTTCTTGAAATCCACAAGCATGTGGACAATTTCAACAGAAAGGAGGAGACCATGAAAATGAACAAAATCTGGCTACCAGTATTAAAAAACTCTAAAATTACAACAGCAAAACAGCAGAGAGGAAACAAGCAGGCACATCTTAACACCTCTCAACAAAAGATTCCCCCAGGCTCAGCCAGACCTTCAAATTCTAATGAAGGTGATCAGTTGAAACATTCACACCCAGTTCCAGCAGACAAGAGTCCTTTGCCCCACCCCAGTCATTCCACAGATATATAAACCCATTTTCCTAGTTCCAACAGACCTCACTGCCTCTGAGGATGCTTGCCATAGATGCAGGCAAAACGTCAGGAGAAAATGCCTCTAGAACATGGCCATATAGCCCGAAAAAACCCACAAGAACCTAATTTATGCCCTGTCTACAGTCTTATGCACAGGCCCAGCGTGCGACAGCACAAAAGGCTTCGACAATACATTAAAGTGGATTCTGATTATGACTATTGTTGGTTATGGTGGAGGTTGATATTCCCTTCCTCTGTCTCCAGGAACCAAAGCTTTCCCGCCTTGGATGTCCTGCACAGCCCATAAAGCCATCCCAATGGCTGTTTTGTGCTTGAAAGTGTGCGGTTTGTGTACAGATATTTTGAGTCTGGATAGGAAGGCACAGCCAGAGGCTTCCGTGATTCTCCATCCAGCTCTTTCCCAACCATTCCATAGTTGGTAAGAATCTTCTCAATGAGGCAATAAATATCACCCTCTGTGGGGTAATGAATGACTCCATGCAGAGTAGTTCCGCATGAGCCATGTAGGATTGCAGCCAGGATCTGGCACGGGCTCAGTCCCGTGTTCCTCTGTGTCAATGTGCTTTCCTCCCCAAGTGATAATAAACCTAGAGCGTTCGCTACTGATGACTCATCCCATTCCTGACGCTGCTTCAGGGAAGTACATTGTCAACATCTGTGATGTGCTTTAAAAAAAAAGAAATTGTTTCTCTCATTTTGGAGACAGAGAAGCAGTCAAAAATGGCATGCCTATATTATTATTATTATTATTATTATTATTCTGACACAAAACCACAGTATGTCACAGCAAACGAGATCTATATGCTGGATTTCATATCACAAATCCTTGTGTATTTCAGTGGCTTCTTAAAGCCAAGGTTAATCCATAGTAGATTTCATGGAAAGAGCCACGTTGAACTGACACTTTCTCTTTGTCAGCCAGAAGCCGTAAATACCCTTTGCTAACATGAAGGTGTTGCGATGACCTTTGGCCGACTTGGCTTCTTTCTTACTAGCTAAGCATGAACTCCTCCTGACCCTCCAATCTAAGCATTCTTGCCTGCTCATTAATTCACTCTCTTCAATGTTCTCTTTATCAGTTTGGTCCAGCTGGACCAAATCACCGTGGGAAGGCTGAACAGGTGAAGACAACTCCGCCTGGCCATTATCTAGCTCACTGTGGCACTAACAAGCCACACCAAACAACAGCCAGCCCATCAAATGCTAATCAAGGTGGTCAGGTGAAACATTCACACCTAGCTCCAGCAGACAAGAGTCCTTTGTCCCACCCTGGTCATTCCACAGATATATAAACCCTTTTTCCTAGTTCCAACAGACCTCACTACCTCTGAGGATGCTTGCCATAGATGCAGGCGAAACGTCAGGAGAGAATGCCTCTAGACCATGGCCATATAGCTCGAAAAAAACCTACAACAACCCAGTGATTCCGGCCATGAAACTCTTCGACAATACAAAGATTATTATTATTATTATTATTATTATTATTATTATTATTACATCTCCATGGGTGGAGTCGTACACAAAATGCTGTGTTGAAGGACAACTTTGCATAACACGACCAAGACACTAAATGTGCGGCAGAATGCACAACCAACACACTTGTCAAACAGTCAATGTGTGTTCATGTGAATCCATGAAATAAGTAATTCATTGCACCGTATGCAAAGATGTATGGCTGTTCTCACAAAACGGAAGAGTTTTGTGCATTCGGGAAATACTCCATTGTGTTTTGTGCCTTCGAGGCAACTCCAACTTATGACAACTGCATCATTGTCCAAGTCTCAAATGATTGTATCACGTGGGCTTGCATGACTTTCTTGACTGTTTAGAGCAGCTCTAAACATCCATTTGCATACATGCAAAATGGACACATGCAAATTCACTGGACTTTGGCTAACTATAGCCTTATTATACCAAAGAGCAGCCAAACAAAGTGAGTAAATATCCCCTTTTCTCCCAAGTTCTCTCTGGAGCGATAATATGGTTGACTGTCTATGTTTTGCTACCTTGGGACACCATATTGACATCATTAGTCACACATTGCTTCGGGATAGGTAACCTTGAATATATAGTGTTTAGTGTTTGTGTGTTTCTCTTCTGTCTAATGGAGACAACGAAGCCCGAAATACATATCTCTCCGGTTCACAGGAGCCTGGTTTTTCATTTTCCCCAAGAGATCAATGGGAGGTCACGAATTCGTGGCTCTATATGCAAGACATGATACAATTTGC